ATTTCATTTTGTAAAACAAATAGGATTAGTATTGAAACTTGAGTCTCTTCTTCCCAACTCAATTTTTATATAGTGACAATTAATAATTCTTAATTCTATTATTTATAAGGACAATTATACATGCACCCAAACAATCAACACCCATCTCAACACCAAAGGCTAAAATGAGGAGGGGTAAATTTGTAATTTTACTGTTCATAAGCCTTGGGTGTTGAGATGGGTGTTGATTGTTTGGGTGTATGTATAATTATCCTATTTATAATACTAGGGTTTTTGGAATAAGAGAGATAACCTAACTCATAATAATAATATTTTAAGTAATCTCATTAATCTATTCACATTTTATTTCAAATCCTATATATACTACTAGATTTTGGGAGTATTTCGGTCAAGGACAATGACCGAAATAGTGCATATTATGACTGAATAGAAAACAATTTGGTCAAGCAAACTAACCGACTTGTTAGACCGAATATGGCCTCCCCGAAATACTATTTCGGAGAAATTTTCATCTTGACCGAAATATATGAATAATTCGGTCAAAAAAAATGACCGAAATTGTGCCTCAAAAAATCAGTAAAAAATGATTACATTCAGATAAAAAATATGACCGAAATAATTAATAATATTTTAATTTAATAGGTCGGTCAATACGACTGACCGAATAATATGTAAGGGATATCTGGTGGTGGTGCTAAAACATGATCTCTATTTCGGTCAAGCAACTTGACCGAAATATATTGAAAAATTCTAGATGGATTTTAGAAATTTTGGCGGAAAATTAACTTTATTTCGGTCAAAATACTTGACCGAAATATGTTGCGAAATTTTGGGGGGAAATTGGAAAAAATTGGCGGTACAATTAACTCTATTTCGGTCATTTCCCCTGACCAAAATATATTGGGAAAATTTTCGAGAAATTGGAAAATGTTGGCGGAAGACTGCACAATATTTGGGGCAAGAAGGTTGACCGAAATATGTTGTTAAATTTTTTGCAACATATTTCGGTCAAGTTTCTTCACCGAAATAGTGATCTAGATTTGAAAAAAAAATCAAATTATTTAATAAATTAATGGTTATTTGGGTTACTTAATGAATATTATAAAAACATTTAGTAGTAAATTAATTCAAAATTTTTATAATTGTTAAAATTAGTATGTACAATTGTTATTATTTGTTTAGTTTTTTCAACAATAATTCAAATTTTGTATGATTTCTAGTAGTAAAATAATTTGAAAATTACATATATTCAATTTAGTAAAAAAAAAATTCCACATTTGTAATCATAAAAGAATATAATACAAAATACATAAAAGAATTACAATGGAATCATATAAACTAGAGAGTGAAAAAAAAAAAAATGAAACATATGTAGATAAGTAAATTACCTCAATTTTCCTGCATTCTTCACCAAATTAAGGAACCTATTTAAATAAAAAAATTAAATCGTTAGTGGAAGCATAAAAATATATATAAGAAAGAAGTAAAACAAAAAGAAAGATGAAAATAAAAATAAGAAAACTTTTATTTAAACCTTAAATTCTAAATTAAGAGAATTAAAAAATTAAACAAAAGTAAAATAAGAATGCGGAAGAAAGATATAAGAAAGAAGGAGAGATTGAGAAAAAAGGAGAAGAGTGAAGCACTATATATAGAAGTAGATATTGATTAATTCGGATAGGTAAACTCATCGAAATAAAAGACAAAAATTTCGAACCTCCCCGCTCAAAAACACTGGGGCTGAGAGCAGGAACAGAAACTAGTTCGGTCAAGAAAAATGACCGAAGTAATCTGGTTACGAAAGTAATTAATGGTTATTTGGATTGCTTTTTTCGGTCAATATCCTTGACCGAAATAGGGAACAGTTTTGATTTTTTCGGTCAAGGGTATTGACCGAAATAAGGACCACTTTTTGCCATCTTTCACTGCAGTTGTTCCTTTGCTTCGTTAAGTGTTGTAATAGTAATAAGTTATTAAAGTTTTCACTTATTAGTTTAGTTTTTGCTGTTTGATGTTTCCTCTTTTTTTTAAAATTAATTTGTTTTAAATATTTTTTTAAATAAAATTTATAATTAACATAATATAAAATTTCTGTTAATTATTTATCTTTATATTTTA